TTACCTACCCTCTCTCTCCCTACCTACCTACTGTATTTCTCTATCTATCCCTCTATCTACCTACTTACTTACTCTCTCTCCCCCTCCCTACCTATCTACTGTATTTCTCTCTCTCTCTCTATTTCTCTCTCTATCCCTTTACCTACCTACCTACCTACCTACCTACACACACTCTCTCATTACCTACCTATTGTATTTCTCTTTCTCTCTATTTCTCTCTCTCTCTCTCTTTATCTATCTAACTACCTACCTAACTACTCACTCTCTCTCTCTCCCTCCCTCCCTACTGTATTCCTCTCTCTTTCTCTCCTTCTCTATCCCTCTATCTACCTACCTACTTTTTAAAAATTTGCCTCTTCAAAACCTTGGTGCATCTTATACTCCGGTGTGTCTTATACTCTGAAAAATATGGTAGCTGCATTAGGGTATTAAGGAGACTCCAGGAATTGACAGTTTGACATATGGATGCCTGAAATTTCCTGATTATGTTAATTCATAAAATGACTACTGATAACTGATTTTTTTAAATGACAGGAGGTTTAATTACTGTATAGACATTCTTCTATATCCTAGTTTTTTGGGTGAAAAGTTTCAAGTTTTAAATGGTTGAAATTTGAAAGAAAATAGGTATGTCTGTTGCAAAGTGAAAAGGAAGGTTTATCTGAGATATTTTATACATCATGGCTCTGAACCTGAAAAAGTTGTTCCAGATGAACCAGTAGAATATCACCTTTTGTCAGGCACAAGCAACCAGATCCATACATGAAAGGTTCAAGTTGATTATTTTATTTGTTTTACCTATAGTACAGGAATCTTCCCAGACTGCCTTGCCTTTGGAACTAACAGATAATATTCCATGGAATTAATTAAGCTTAAGTCTCTTGTAGCAGCGCCAAGGACTCAACACTAGTTCCCTGCTTGATTCCTCCTCCTTGCCTAGCTGGATTTCCCAATATCTTTAGGAAACATCAAGCCAAGAATCACTGGGAGGCTCCTCAAACAGAGGCAGCATTAGAATAACTGGAGCAGATGTTGATATAGGTCTTGAAACACTTAAGACAAAAAGAGTCCAAGGGTTTCAAGCACTTGAAAGCATAGCAAAGGCATTCAATGAAGCAAAGACATGCCTGCCTTAATTAAAACAATTGGCTGCAGCCTTATTTAAGAAGCAGATCTGACCCTGAAACTATGAACCTTGGTGTGATTCAGAGGTGGGTTCCTACCAGTTTGCACCTATTCGGTAGAACCGGTTCGTCAAATCTACCAAACCGGTTAGAAGAGGTTCTACCAGTGCACCCAGAAAGCAGGCCACACCTACAGAAGAGGTTCCAAAAAATTTTGAAACCCACCACTGGTGTGACTGATAAATCTTGCTTGGTTCTCTGACCCTCAGACTGAATCCTGACTAGTCTTCTGTCCATTCCTGTAGAAAGTGAAACTATTCAGGCAAGCCTTATCTTCACAGAGTCTGATTTATGTTCCTTTGGTTGTCTTCTCAACCTTGAGTAAATTGCTTACCATTACGTAGCAATTCTGTGTGCAGGTGTGTGTTTGAAACTTGAAACAGGAAGTATAGGAACCATATTGCTGATATACAATTGGCCTGCAGCAGCTGAAAAAAGACTAATGGCATCTACTGTATGCCTGCAAGCTTGTTCACATAGGAAATTAGGATGTACATTTGAGAAAAGGCCCAGTTAGCAACATTTCATAAAACAATAGCCTAGCAGGAAAATGGATAAAATTGTCAGTGGTGCAGAAGACCTCAAATCCATTTAGAGAGTGCTTCAGGCCTATCACTTCAGTAAAAGCTGAAGAACTGAAGAGAGCCCTGCAGATACAATCAATTAAATAGGAATGCATTGGATGGAGAATTTTATGGAAGGCAAAAGGGACAGATGGAGAGATAACTGTTTCCAAGAAATGAAAAGAAATATATGGGTAAATGATTAAACAGATGGCTAAGCTAAGGATATAGGTCAATTCTTACGAACCTGAGAAAAGCATTCAAGTTTGTTTCTGTTAAAAAATGCTTAATTAGATTAATTAAAGAACAGAACTGACATAAATACTTTTTGAGCATGAACTTAGAACATGCAATTTTCTCCATCATTTGTCTTTCTTTAAAGTCTGTTACCTTGGTTTTTTTTTCCTTTCAAGAATTTAATAAAGACTATGTAGACTGTGAATGCATGCCATAATATGTGAAGATACAGCTGCCTGTAATATGCCTTTCTGTTACTTCTTGCATAAGCAGTCCAGCTTGCAGTTAGAAATATGCTGCATTTTAAAATTAGCAGGGGATAAAAAACAAGGACAGCAAATCAAAATGTTAGGCATCAATGTGTGAGTCAATGTCAAACCTACACAATCTAGTCCACTTTGCATTCCTATTACTCTCCCTTTAAATGCCTGTAGTTTGTTCAGCATTTCTACTTGCTTAAAATGTGCTGAATGCTAAAGCTTCATTTCTAATTGCCAAATATGCGCTTCATCTTTGAGGCCTTTCAAACACAGGGTGCATCCTTAATATGCCGAAAGCAATTGCACTTTATCTGGAATGGATAAATGCAGAGAAAAGCCTGTTACAATGCAAATGTATCAATTTTTAATAATCACAGCTTTGTGACAGGAATAATCAGGGAGAAAAAGAGAAAATGGATAAATGGGGAGTAGGAACACTAGCTGTCAGGAACAAAAAAGAGCAAAGGACATACCACCTAAAAACAATGGTTTATACAAAAAGAGGAAGGGCAGGCATTTGGAGATTGCTCCATGGATCCAGTTTAGCCAACCAGACAATGGAGATGACCTGAGGCTGCAGAATAGAGCAATGGAAGAATAGATGACCAGATGAACAAATGAAGAGAATGAAAAAGAAACAGAAAGGATGGACAAAAGGGCCAAGAATCACTGCCAGAACACTTCTGCTTATATCTCCGTTGTATCTTGGTGCCCAATTCACACTGACATGTTGAGCTGACAAAGTTCCTACTTCTGGGAGACAGATCGCTCAAATATTGTTTCCAAGACTTTTTAAAAAATGTTGTGACTGTTGGTGTGAATTCTTCAGGGATGGCATTAATAAAGGCTTCCTATTTAACATATATTGCACAAAAGAAGAATCTTTATCCTCTTGTTATAGGCAAACCAAAACAGATTGTGGTTTATTGTCATCTCCCAGTGGCTCAACAGTTAATTCTTCTCTTCATTAAGCTTTTGGTCAGGGTCACTACCTGTTAGCTTTTCTATCCCCCACCAAAGAATATATGCACAAACATTGCAGATCCATCAGCATCAGGATACCTCCCTCCCCCAAGGAAGAATCGGCGATTGATTCATCCATTATTATCTCTAGTTATAAAAAAAAATCAGAGGAAAAAAGAGATGACAAAGTGTAGAAGAAATTCTGCTTCTTTCAATAGGTTGCTGTGGTTTTGATTTTGCTGCTAAAAATGTTAGTTGTACAGATATTATCTAGATGTTATATTGTTCCAGATGTTTTCCTTCCAGATCATGTTTCTAGGGTGACTATCTCATCAACCCAGTTTTCTTTTTGCTCTTTAGGAACATGAAGTTCTTCCACCAGATAAAGACTGTGAGTACTGAGTGCCACCATGTGAGCAATCCAAGAAACTGTGACATGAGCAGCATATGGGTTTTAATGGCCTGACATGGCTGCTGTTCTACTCACATGCCTGCTCTAGAATTTCACTTATTTCCAGTAGCTGCAGAATCCAATTGCAATGTAATATTTGTTATTCTGCCCCTGTATAAATATACAGGTATTCCTGGACTTACAGCCCAAACTTTATGTTCAGTGAGAAATTTGTTAAGTGAGTTTTGCCCCATTTTAGGATTTTTCTAGCCACAGCTGTTAAGTGAATCATTTCAGCTTTTATGTTAGTACCATGGTTGTTAAGTAAATGTGGCTTTCCCATTACTTGGCTTAACAGAAAGGTCGCAAAAGCCGTTCACATGACTCTGGGACACTGTCATAGCTTTGCTGGTTGAGGAACTCTGGGAGCTGAAGTCCACAAGTCTTAAAGTTGCCAAGGTTGGAGACCACTGACCTACATGACAGTACTACTGGTAGTTAAAACATTGAAAGTTGAGTTACCTGCCTGCTGCACATTGCATCATTGCTGTTACTTTTCCTCATTCACTCACTATCCCAGATAAGCCTCCTGGAAGAAGGCAATGTTTTGGAGAGCTCTTAAGTATTATTCTACTACTAAGGCTATCAGAGCTATATATGATGGGTGTCATAAATTTGCCAGTTACAGCAAAACCTGGCAAGAGGTCTACTCCCAACTCCCAGTGCTTAAAAGGGAAGAAGAAGAAATAACAAGTACCAAGATCTACAGATTATTCTAGAACTAGATTGCAATATTTAATGGTTCTGAAATCAAGATATATTCAAAAGTTGATACAGTATCGAAGAACTTTTCAATTTCTTTCCCTACGTTCATGAAGAAAAATCATACTGGCGGTTCCTGAACTGCATCTTACCTGCTTGGTTGGTGGTGATGTTCACTGAGGCATGCTGTGGCGGGAATGGGCTTTTATTAGAAACCCCATTGACAGCTTGGATCTCAAAGGTGTAGGGCGTATGAGCCCACAGGTTGCTGATGAAGACACGAGTTCCTGTAAGTCCCAATTGTCTTGGCACAAACTCCACATTGTCATCGCAGCGGGAGCAGCTACGGCGATCTGACCGGCACTTTTTGCAGACGATATTATAGGTCACATCATCACGCCCTCCTGTATCCCGAGGTGGGTGCCATTCTAATATAATTGAAGTCTCATTGACAATAGAGATTACATTCCGAGGTCCGGAGGGAACACCTGTTAAATAACAATTTGCAGATCAAGGCTGTGCAAGTAAATATACGGCTGCAGTAAAATGTATAACTTTAGCGGTATTTTAAAACATTGGAATATTTGGTTTATTTTGTTTTTGTACAAAATATTTATTTGATATTTAAATCAATTGCAATAATTCACTTAGGAAGTGACCACATGAGTGACTGCTATATTCCTTGTGCTTTTCTAATGTCGGGCTTCTATTGAGGATGGAATGAGATGGCAGAGACTTTCCCATGTTCCAAATGATCTTCATTGTCTTCACCATGGTATTAGATAAACATTTGTCATCCCCAAATATTCCTCTCTTGAAAAACGTGATTTACTGGTAGCTTGCTCTGGTCTTCCCACACCTACCTGACCCATCAGCAGTCATTTAGAGAGAATTTTAGTAGCAGGCTTATTTCAAAATAATATTTCGTTTCTACTTCGTTTCTTTTTACTTGTAAACAGGTTTTGAAGAATTATTATCTTAAAAGAGAATATAAGAAATTATAACACATATATTTCATTCACAAATTCTCAATGATCACCTTAGCTAAGAAAATTGACAAGTGATGTTCCTAGAAGAGGTTTTTTTTTACTGGTCTCATTTATTTCAGTTACCTTGACGCATCTAATATCAGCAAATAACCCATGGATTGTGTAGCACAATCATCTTCATATCCAGAAGAGCAAGAATGTTGTCTTTTTCCTTGCTTGTTTGTTTCACACCCTTGTGGTCATAGATGCCCATCTTGAGTACATTCTCTCCCCATGTAGAATGGTAATAATATGGCATCACTCACTTAAGACTTTTATCTTTGGGTGATCTGAGTCAAACTAGATTACTTTTTGTTCCTTCCAAATAATTGAATCTAGCTAGAATACTAAAAAACAAAAATCTATTTTCTGAAAGGCACGTGCACACACACACACAAGGATGGATGGATGGACGCATGCATGCGCAACCCCCCCCCCCGCACTTAATTTGAATTTGAAAGTCAATTCTTAAATTTTGAGAGGGAAGGGAAAGGAAAGGAGAAATGTGGAGTCCAAAGCTTATCATCCTTAAAGCACTCTCCTGTAGGAGTGCCCTAAACTGTAGCATGGTTAAAAAAGATCTTCTACCGGTACTTGGTAAATTCAGTATATCTCTGTATAAAAGGATTATAGTTTTTCCATTTGAAATTTTTGTGAGTTGAGAAGATTTATGTAAGGTGCAAAAAGCCAGGTCCATACATGCAGGATCAATTTAACTGTTTTATTGCTGGAAGTCTATGCACAGAAATTTTCTTAACTAGTTCAGCGGTTCAAATCTCACCGGCTCAGGGTTGACTCAGCCTTCCATCCTTCCGAGGTGGGTAAAATGAGGACCCAGATTGTTGGGGGCAATATGCTGACTCTCTGTAAACCGCTTAGAGAGGGCTGAAAGCCCTATGAAGCGGTATATAAGTCTACTGCTATTGCTATAACTAATGGTCAGCACCTGGTAATAGCTAGGTAAGTTTCAATGGCAATTAAGGGGGACTTGTTTGTAATGTAATGTAATGACTCTCAATTTCTCTTTTTACCCCTTCCTTGGCTCTGCTAGTCCTTCCCCTACATGTAGACTGGATTGCTACATCTGCATTAGGTGATTATCATTACTTAGGGCTTCTATTATATGCAACAAAAGCAAATTATTTATTTGAAGCTTGTCCTTGGTGTTTCCTCTGCTAACTCATGAATGCTGGTTGAGTTTTATAGGAAGAGATTTATTGCCATGCCCTAAGCAAAGCTCTGACAAGTACAAAGCAACAATCCTGATAAAAAAAATAAGTCGTATTTGGTTGGTTGTTCTTCATTGGTAGTACAGTGTCTCTCATCTTTCAGAGTCATATGCTGAAGACATGCACTTTAACATTTGAAGCAAAAATCAGGAAAAGAAAATGAGGGTTTTGACACATACATTTCACAATAGAGCCTTGTCTGGCAGGCAAGCACAACTTTCATTTTCTGTCCATTTTTTTTATTCCAGAAAATAGCAATAGCAATAGCACTTAGATTTATATATCGCTTCATGGTGCTTTACAAACCACTCTCTAAATGGCTTACAGAGTCAGCATATTGCCCCCAACAATCTGAGTTCTCATTTTACTGGCCTCAGAAGGATGGAAGGCTGAGTCAGCCCTGAAATGGCAAGGATCAAACTGCTGGCAGTCGGCAGAGTTAGCTTGCAATACTGCATTCTAACCATTTCTGTGCCATTTCTGGTGTCTTCAAATGTTTTCCCATCTCTTTATTGACGTCACATGTACACAGAAAATCTGATTTGCTTATATTTCTGTGTCAGCTGAATCTCAGCCAATCTATCTTGTAACCATCATGGTCATGACCAGACTCCAACAACTTGGTGTGCCCCTTTTGTACTTACTAATCTCTTTATTGTTTGGATATTTTTTTTAACAATTTAGTGGCTTGTTTTGCTGAAAGGTTTTTTTTAATTGGTGAATATCATTAAATTTTGATTATTTAAGTATATATAATTGATTTTTATACTTTAATGGTAATTCTCTGCCAAATTCCACCGCTCCGAATGTTTGCGACCAAGAAGATATTAACCGTGGCGACCAGGACCCATAATATGGTAACGGAGGGGTT